CCCAGGGGTGGCAGGGGGGACCCAGATGTGCCATGGGGGGGACCCAGGGGTGCCCCAGGGGAACCCCATGTGCCACAGGAGGATCCGGGGGTGCCGTGGGGGACCCAGGGGACCCCCATGTGCCATAAGGGGACCCAGGGGTGCCACGAGGGGACCTGGGGGTGTCCCAGGGGTGCCATGGGGGGGACCCAGGGGTACCCCAGAGTACCCCACCGTGCCATGGGGGGACCCATGGGTGGCAGGGGGGACCCAGCTGTGCCATGGGGGGACCCAGGGGTGCCATGAAGGACCTAGAGGTGCCACAAGGGGACTCAAGGGTACCCCAGGGGACCCCCATGTGCCACAAGGGGACCCAGGGGGCACCCAGGGGACCCAGAGGTGCCCAAGGGGACCCAGGGGTACCCCATGTGCCATAAGGGGACCCAGGGGTGGCAAAGGGGACCCAGGGGTACCCCAGAGTACCCCACCATGCCATGGGGGGACCCAGGAGGGCCATGGGGGGGACCCAGGGGTGCCATGAAGGACCTAGAGGTGCCACAAGGGGACCCAGGGGTGCCATAGGGGGGACCCAGGGAACCCCCATATGCCACAAGGGGTCCCAGGGGTGCCATGGGGGACCCAGGGGTGCCCCATGTGCCATAAAGGGGACCCAGGGGTGGCAGGGGGGACCCAGATGTGCCATGGGGGGGACCCAGGGGTGCCCCAGGGGAACCCCATGTGCCACAGGAGGATCCGGGGGTGCCGTGGGGGACCCAGGGGACCCCCATGTGCCATAAGGGGACCCAGGGGTGCCACGAGGGGACCTGGGGGTGTCCCAGGGGTGCCATGGGGGGGACCCAGGGGTACCCCAGAGTACCCCACCGTGCCATGGGGGGACCCATGGGTGGCAGGGGGGACCCAGCTGTGCCATGGGGGGACCCAGGGGTGCCATGAAGGACCTAGAGGTGCCACAAGGGGACTCAAGGGTACCCCAGGGGACCCCCATGTGCCACAAGGGGACCCAGGGGGCACCCAGGGGACCCAGAGGTGCCCAAGGGGACCCAGGGGTACCCCATGTGCCATAAGGGGACCCAGGGGTGGCAAAGGGGACCCAGGGGTACCCCAGAGTACCCCACCATGCCATGGGGGGACCCAGGAGGGCCATGGGGGGGACCCAGGGGTGCCATGAAGGACCTAGAGGTGCCACAAGGGGACCCAGGGGTGCCATAGGGGGGACCCAGGGAACCCCCATATGCCACAAGGGGTCCCAGGGGTGCCATGGGGGACCCAGGGGTGCCCCATGTGCCATAAAGGGGACCCAGGGGTGGCAGGGGGGACCCAGATGTGCCATGGGGGGGACCCAGGGGTGCCCCAGGGGAACCCCATGTGCCACAGGAGGATCCGGGGGTGCCGTGGGGGACCCAGGGGACCCCCATGTGCCATAAGGGGACCCAGGGGTGCCACGAGGGGACCTGGGGGTGTCCCAGGGGTGCCATGGGGGGGACCCAGGGGTACCCCAGAGTACCCCACCGTGCCATGGGGGGACCCATGGGTGGCAGGGGGGACCCAGCTGTGCCATGGGGGGACCCAGGGGTGCCATGAAGGACCTAGAGGTGCCACAAGGGGACTCAAGGGTACCCCAGGGGACCCCCATGTGCCACAAGGGGACCCAGGGGGCACCCAGGGGACCCAGAGGTGCCCAAGGGGACCCAGGGGTACCCCATGTGCCATAAGGGGACCCAGGGGTGGCAAAGGGGACCCAGGGGTACCCCAGAGTACCCCACCATGCCATGGGGGGACCCAGGAGGGCCATGGGGGGGACCCAGGGGTGCCATGAAGGACCTAGAGGTGCCACAAGGGGACCCAGGGGTGCCATAGGGGGGACCCAGGGAACCCCCATATGCCACAAGGGGTCCCAGGGGTGCCATGGGGGACCCAGGGGTGCCCCATGTGCCATAAAGGGGACCCAGGGGTGGCAGGGGGGACCCAGCTGTGCCATGGGGGGAACCCAGATGAT